TATTGACTTTTTAACACACATATTCCACCATTTATATAACGACACGTGGTCTATCACCCCTTGTGACAGTCACACTTAAAAATCTCTCCCTCAATAGTCTTCAAATCCGTGGCAGTTGACTCAGGCAAGAAGCAACATTAATTTTCTCCGTCCAAAGATCAAAAAAAAAAAAAAAAAAAAACGTGCGTTTTACACAAAGAAAAATGCTAAAGAGACGTGAATTTTTTGTCATCTCATCTTTTTTTAATAATATTTTATAATATTAATACGAGAATTAACATTAAATTGTGAGGTGACAATGAGTTCTTGAAGAGTTGCATTTAAAAAAAAAAAAATCTCTTTAATATTTCCCTTACACGAATATACTTTAACTTCAGAAGAAAAAAAAAAAAAATTCGCATAGTCATGCTTATCAACAAATTAATTATTTCATGCTCATCTATTCAACTTTGAGAGAAAAGCTCATCAAGAATATGACGTAGAAGCCAGTTATGTTTCACTTTCACCAAACCATTTCTCACGGTTCACTTTTTTTTTTTTTTCGTCAAACCATTTCTTTTCTTACAAATTACAACACCGTATGGGAATTGGATTTCATAATATCATGAATGCTCAATAAGAATTCATAAGAGAAACTTAATGTTTGTTTCAAATCATTATGACTAATTGCTCTATACCACATAATACTCGACTTTTTTTTATAAAAAAAAATTATAAATTGAAGATAGAAGATTACAAAACTGAAGATGACATGCACGGAATATAAGTAAAGAATTCAGTGACCAATTTCAACATAAAATATTTGGAGAGAATAAAACACAACCTACGATAAATAAAATCATATAAAATATAAATCAACCATTAATAAGAAAAATTGCTACCGATATAGATCAACTACAAATTGACATAACATGACACATATATCTATAAGCGAGAACACTTGCGAACTCACATTCACCTATAGTGAGAACATGTGGCGAGAAAATTACATAACTCATTTAACGACAAACTACAAAATACAGACAACTCATACTTATGTATACTTACACTTGAATTTGAGAACTTGAAGTTTCATAATGAGAAAAATTAAACTTTCACAAATATGATTTTTTTTTTTTTTTTTTTTTAAATCTCCCTTCCAACCTTTTTTTTTTTTTTTTCAGTAAAATGAATTTTTCATATTCATAAATACTGGCCCTTTTTTGCTTTATCCTTCTATGCAAGCAATTTACAGTCAAAACGAAAAATTAGTATGTAAAGTTAAGAGAATGATGTAATTTGATTTAAGATGGGACACCATAATGCACCCCACCTATTAAATATTGCATCCAAAATGAGTCATTGACCATGCTAAACCCAATTAATATATGAACTGGAAAATTACATACTATCCCTCTCGGCATAATCATTGAAGAAAGAGAAACTTTATTTGGACTCAACTATCTTATCTCTACACCCAACTAAAAAATTTTCTCTTCTAAACTTTCAAGTTTGCCCTTAAATAAATAAGAATAAGAAAATAAACATTGGTGTTTTTATCTCTACACCCAATAACTCAAAAAAAATGGCACATGTCTCCACTCCTTCATTATTTCTTGCGAAACAAGCCCAAATGACAACAAAATATTCTCGTGAGTTCATCAACAACTAAGCTTGCTAAAAATCCTTGTTGCATGAAACCCTTAGCACCCTCATTTATAATTTTAGTAGAGAAAACTTCTTACCAATTCGTTGGACATGAAACAATTCCTACAATATGAGAAAAAAGCTTCCATGTCAGTGTCTATTAGAAGAGATAGGAACAAGGGTTTCTAGCAAGCTGACTTGTTAGTTTTAATAATTTATGCAAGTAGCCAACTCCCAAATAATGGTTCAAACAAGCAAACATATCAGCCGAAAACCTATGCTAAAATTATAAATGAGGGCTGATAAGGGTTTCCAGTAAGCTGACTCGTTGATGAACTCGAGAGAAACTTTTGCTGTTATTTGGGTGGGTTTTGCCGGAAATAAATGAAAGAGTGTACTAGTGTGCCAGTTTTGGAGTTATGTGGTGCAGAGATAAAAACACCAATGTTTATTTTATTTTATTTTCTTATTCTTATTTATTTAAGGGTAAATTTGGAAGTTTGGTAGATAAAACTTGTTAGTTGGGTGTAGAGATAAGATAACTGGGTCCAAATAAAAATTCCCTTGAAGAAATAACAAAAAAAAAAAATCAGAAAGTAATATACATATGTATTTGTTTTTGCATTTTTGGACATAAAAATCATAAAGTAATATACATATGTATTTGTTTTTGTATTTTTGGACATATGATAAGATAATTATATATATATATATATATATTAAATTTATCTAAATACGGAAAGAAAATTCAAACTTTGGATGCAGAAAATGAAGCACACTAGTTTATTAAACTTAGCTAAACTTATGACTACAATATACATATTTGTTTGAGCAGGATATATGATTGTGTATATATGTGTATTTATATTTAGATACACACATACTATAATGTAAGCAATAGTTTAACAAGTTTTCCCTATCTTATTTAAATTGAAATTCAAAGTTTTTTTATTTTTTATTTTTTTTTCAGGTCATGGACAATGAATTAGATTCCCTATTTTGTAGGGAGCACCTAACTTTAGAAAGTCAAATTATGTCCATTGTTAAGCTTCAACACTCAGTTAAAACTTAAAAAAGAAACCCCAACAGTTTCCTTTCTCTTTCGAAAATCAATAAAAGATGGTGTATAGACACGAGAAACACTGTGTCAAATTTATTAGTATTAGATTTGATAACAACATAATTTTCTCTGAAAGGTATTGTTAGCCAACCAAAGGGACACGCCTGACAATGTATTATGTAAATCACTAGCTAAGCTAATTGGGATCTTTCAATTTAGACATGTACTGTAATTTAGTTTCAATTTATTTTATTTCTCTAGAAAGAAGAAGAAAAAGATAATAACAAAATATTTTAAAGCGATATTTTATACTACATTCATCGAAACTATTAAGGGACTTTCCCATGTTGGTGCAAGGACAGAACCTAGCTCATTGTTCCAACTAAGTTTACTAAGCGTAGATAAATTGAGCTATTGCAGTGGACTTTTTAAGTTTGCTATTTGTTTCAAGGGTCAATGGTATTTACTGATCTACCAAATCAAGGGAATACATGGCTTGTCAATTAATTTTCTGTATCATGAAATGTAATTTCTGGGTGTGAAGAATTAAAGGGCCCCTGGTGCTTGTTAGTGTTTACTAAAATTTCATGATATGCTGTTGAGATTTTTACATGGATAATAGTTAGGGAGATCATCTATTTAAACCAAATTTTATAAATCATATCACGTGGTTGTTGATTGATTGGATTATTACTTAAACGTTGATTCACGTACTTATTTTGTATAGGTGACACATCACATGATTCGCAGATGTCGTCTAAAAAATTAGTCTACTTAACATTACTCTTTTTAAATTAGGGTTTATTGCTGTTACACTTCAATTTTCCAAAAATCTATTTAATTCTCTTTGGTGTGGTGTGTGTTGCTTGTTTTTAATTATTGTATGTTTGAAAGTTTTTATTTAAATATTTGGGATGGAGAGAGGATGAGGGTTTAACCTTAAAGCCTTTGGGTTTTTCCTGTGATGTATATTTTTTTTAAGAAAATTAATGAAAATGATTTAAAAATTTTGCATTTTAACCCAAAACCATCTAATAACTTATTTAATAATAAGGACAAAAAGAAAAATAAAATAAAATATAAAAATGTGTGCCCAATGCACGTTAAGTTTCATAAACAGTGTAGTACCGTTAAGTTTCATATATAATGTAGTACCGTTAAGTTTCATAAACAGTGCAGTAAATTTCATAAACAGTGTAGTACCGTTAAATTTCATAAACAATGTAATAAGTTTTATAAACAGTGTAGTAAATTTCATAAATAATGTAGTATGGTTAAGTTTCATAAACAGTGTAGTCAATTTCATAAACAGTATGTGCGACGACGCGCGGGTCTCATGTGACAAATTTTTTTTAATATTAAAATTATGTCTTTTTCATTAAAATTTAAGTTCTTTTGTCCTTTTTATTAAGAGTAATGATATTCTTATCATAATTTTATACCATATATCTTTACCATCTTAGGTGGCAGATAAGTTAGACAAGCCACATCATTTAATTTCAATTTCAATTTTCTTATTAATTAAAACACTTCAATAAGAAAAATTCAGAGTCTCTCTCTTGCACTAATAGCTTAACTAGGTATGAACCCTAATCCAACAGACGAAATTGATTTTGACTCCTAATTCTCATGAAAGCTAATAGACATTATTTAATGAAATAATCAGATGAAATCCTTCTACTAAACCACAAAATAAAATTTGATAAGAAAACAAAAAAAATCACGAGCGAAGAAGCCATGGACTAGCAGTGAAGATTGGAGAATGAGAGGGGAGATTGGGGCTATGGGGATCAACAAGAGTATGGAGATCAAGCTTGATCATAATCATGGAAATCAATAGAAATAAATGAAAAAACAGGCGTGAAGAAAAAAAGGGAAGGAAGAAGCAGAATTGAAAGGAAAGGAAGGAGGAGGCTCCTCGTATACCACAATCATCATTTAATTAACCATTTTTTTTATTAATTATTAATTTTTTAAATAATTTTTAATTGAAATTAAATTCTGATTAATTTAAATGATATGGCTGTACATATCAGATACCACCTAAGATGGTATATAAATGTGGTATAAAAATATGGTAAGAATAACATTACTCTTTTATTAAAGTTTAAAAAAAAATTCATTAAAATTTAAGTCTTCTCATTAAACTAAACTTAATCCAAGCCTTATTTTTCATGAAAGTTACCTTTTTTTTTTTTTTATTTGCCATATCTCCTCTCGTCTTCTCTCACTCGATATTAAACACCGACTAGCCTAAGCAATGAATGAATTGGCAATGCCTTCCTTTCCTTCTACTGCTGTGCTGCACTATTTGTAATTGCAATATTTACAGCAAATTTCCATTTCATGCATTCTTATTGGGATATTTTCCAACAATTAATACATTTCCTGGCCTCAATTTACACTCTTCTTCCACCCCAATACTTCAATGCAATTCGATTCGATTCAATTCAATTCAATTCAATTGCTCTCACTCTATCCCTCTCTAAACAATTTTCTCTCTCATCCTATACCCTCCACCTCTCCCCCATAATTTAATTAAGCATTAAAGCAAATCCATCTTCCTCTCCCTCCCCTTCTCTTTGTGCGTGTATATATAATGGTGTTTTGAGGTCCATACACCACCTCCCCAACGACCATGTTTTTGTTCCCTCATCTTTTCATGGTTTTTGCCTAACCCAAATTTCTCCCAACCTAAGACCAAGTTACCCAATATTCCCATCCTCCTCCTCCCTTTTCACAAGCCCTCTCGACAATCCCCAAGGTACAACGATCCTACATACTTTAATTTTCTGCCGTAATATTATATCACGCACCCCCCTTTTATCTTCACTTTTGTGTTCATATAATTCATAGTTTCTTCAATTTCAATGTTTCCATGTTTTAATTTTGGTGGTGCTTAATTTTAGAGCTGAATTTCCTTTGTTTTTTCTTTTTTTTTTTTACGTTTTTTAAAGCCCAAGCCATGAGTAGACGGAACGGAGGCGGTCCGAAGCTTGACCTGAAGCTGAACCTGTCACCACCGAGGGCTAATCATCAGCCGGCGGAGTCACCACGAAGATCAGCGACTGTTTCACCTACGTCACCGCCGAGCTCATGCGTGTCATCGGAGCTGAATCAAGACGACAATTTTAGCCCGGAGACCACTTCCATGGTGCTAGTCGGGTGCCCTAGGTGCCTCATGTATGTGATGCTCTCGGAGGACGACCCCAAATGCCCTAAATGCAAGAGCACTGTTTTGCTAGACTTTCTTCATGACAACACCACCACCACACCAACCTCAAAGACAAGGAAGAGCTAAAAAAAAGCTAAAAGAGCTAAGAGCTAGAGTAGTCTATCCGTTTTTTTTTGGGTTTTTTTTTTTTTTCCAATTTTACTAGGACTTCATGTTAGGCTCTGTCTATTTCCAACCCTTTTTTTATCCTTCGTGGAGGCAGCGCTATTGGCGCTCCATTTAGCTACATTTTTCGTTATTTAAAAATAGCGGAAAATATTTGACCTAGACAAGGATCAATTCATCCTTAATTGGTTGGTTGAGCCTTGTTAACTAGGTATCTGAAAATGAGTGGAGCGCGAATATCACTACCTATGTTGTTTTATCTTTTTTATTGACCTTGCTAATCTTAGAAATTAGGTTATGGATGATGGGCAATTGGGCTTGCACTACTGGGGTTTGGTAGGTGGGATGAAAGGTGTTTGTTTCTGCCTTTGCTAACCCTTTAGCAGAAAGTCAATGATGTAAAACGGTTAACTGTAACTGCCCAACATTTTCATCTGAGAAAAAAAAAAAGTTGGATCATATTTTGTTATTTTGCCATTGCCTCTACCTTTTTTCTGTTTTCGCTTTTTGTTTAATGGCTTATAGTGTTATTACTATATCCAACCACAGATTGGCAGGACGTTGCATTGAGTTTTATCTGACGAATAAAAGATGCATGTGTAAAAGTAAAACCATAACTCTCTGCAGTCACATGAAGTAAATTTTTCTGCTTGTTTTTTCTTGTTTTCCTGCTGAAGTGCTTGTACTACTTCCGAGCTTGAAGGCAACAAATTCTGGTTAAAACCTAAGGGAAGCAGTTAGGGTACGACTTTTGGGCCCCATTGGGTCCATATATAAACTTGCTGAACTTCTGTTCAAATTGCAACCTGAGACCTTATCCCAAATGTATGACTCATGATGTCATGTCCAAAACCGAAAACATAAAGTTTCCACGATAGCGGTAGATGACTTGTTTTGTTTCTGCATCCACAGTTAAAGTTCGACTCTCGTTTAAAACAATGATAAACTATCATAATTTTAGTGGCATAGAACTTGTTTTTACATCCATAATCGTTCAACTCTTGCTTTTCTGTTTCAAAACAACAATAAAATATAAGTATTTTAGTGGTAGAAGACTTGTTTCCGTATGTATTACCAATGTTTGACCCTCGCTCTTCTTCGAAACAATGTTAAGTTAATCAACTATAAGAACTATAGTGGTAAAGGCATTGTTTCTGCATACATAACCAAATTTCGACTCTCATCACCAATCGACTCTCGCTCTTCTTCAAACAATAATGAACTATCAAAACTAGTATGAAGTAACATTGTATACCTTAAAATCCTAACAATCAAAATTTGGATAATATCCATAACTTGTTAGTTGGTTAACTTCTAATTATTACAAAATTTGAATAATATGATTAATATCCATGTTTAAAAAAATAATAATTATTTTAGTTATTAAAGTATATTTTTAAAAATAATAAACTTACTAACCACTCAATGTGGCCTTTTTATAATTTTTTTTTTTTTAAATCCTATTGGAAGAAGCGCAATTTGGATGTTATGAAAATTTCACTGTTTTTATATAGATAAATAATACGGAAAAAAAAATATTTAAATTGCCATTAAATTCTAAGAAAACTGACTTGGGTGATGACAAGAACGGGAGTATGGGTCATTTTTCGATATTAGGTGCAATTTAGGAGCATCCATAACACACTTGACAATTTTACCAAATCATTCATATCTGTTTTCTAACAGATTTGTTATATATAGGTCCAAAGGATTTTAATTTAGGGATAATTATGTAAAGGCTTATTATATTAGCACCTCACAAATTGTTAAATAAACCCCACATATTTAATACACCCCACATTTGCTTTTTCAATTAAAAATTATCTTAATACACCCCACTTACTTCTCCATAATACCCTCAAACCCAACATTCTTAATATACACCTTACATTTTCTATATGCACCCCATATTTTCTTTACACCCCACATTTCTCAAATCTTATCAAGCTTTTAATTTGGACAAATAATGCCGATTAAAATTTTGAAAAAAAATGCCGCCTGGGATATTTAAAGAATATGTGGGTTGTTTTCAATTCCACCATTAAAACCCATATCGTCTATTTTTAATATTTGGTGGTAATTTTAGGTGTTTAATTATTCATGTAATCCATGTGATCCCTAAAAGATGAATACGAACATAGAAGCTTGAATATCACATCAAAAGCAAGATTAAATAATTATCAAGATCGTCAAAATCACTAAAACAATAAATAATATGAAGTCTCATCTCATGTGAAGCTTCCGAAACATCAATTTCGTGTTTTATTCGTCAAAAATAATTTTTCTCAACATAACTGTAGTTTCATTGGTTAGGGTTTTGTTTAACAATGGTGGGTCGGAGAAATTTTGATAGTTGAAGAAGATAAATAATATGTTAAAAGTGATTTTGGGTGTATATAGAATATTTTTAATTTTTATTTTTAATCTTATAAGGTCAAGATTGCCATTGCATAGTAAGATAACTAAGTTATTTAATATTAGATTTTAATGTGTGGTGCATTCAACATTTTGTGGGGTGCTAAATTAAAATGTGGGATGGTTTGGGTAGTTCGAGCATTGAAAAATAAATATTATTAGATTGACAGACCATTAAATAACATAAATGCAAGAGTAATTGGGACAGTTGAGCATAAAGAGGAGTATTACGTCAGATAATAAATACCAATTTAATTCCACCTTCACTCGCTTCTCTTTGTTTATTTATTCTATTTTATTTTCTACCTTCTGATCATGAAATATTAAATTTTCTGTTTTGGTAAGTTGGTATACCAATTGTCTCTATCCTTCTTATCCATGTTCTCCCAATTTAATTCTATTTAACTCTTTCTAACTTCTTGCTTCCAAAACAGCTGAAATTTCAACTTATTTGTAAGGGAAAGATCTAATATACAATTTATATGAATAATGCACGATAATGTATTTGATGTTTGAGGTTAGGATTGTAAACAAGCCGAGCCAAACCGAATATCATCGTGCTCAAGTTTGGCTTGTTTAATTTTTTTTCGAGCTCGAGCTCACTAAAAATAGATTTGAGCCCAATATTGAACTTGAACTGCTTCGAGCTACTTCTATGTTGGTTCGATTATGTAAAAAAAATTGAATTATCGTCATAGAGTTTATGCATAAGAGAGTTGCCTAACATATCAATTTATGTATAATGGTATATAGTGACCACTATTCAATAATCATGATTCTATATATAATGTTCTGTAAAAAAAATAAGGCTTAAATGTTAAAATGGTCCATATGTTATAGTCATATAGCCAATTTAGTTCTCGTGTTTTCGGTTTGGACTAATTTAGTCCTCGTGTTTATCTCTATTAGCCAATTAAGGACATTTCATTGAATCTATGTTAAAAATTTCATTAGAAAAATTATAAGAGATATAATTACCATTTTTCTTTACAAAAAAATGCAAATCAATGAGAAACAACACATATAAGATATAAAACTTTCAATCTGAAAAAAGATTAAGGTTGTGATATAGAAAAGAGAGGGGGTAACGTTAGGGAGGAGGTCGGCAAGCTGAGAGGAGAATAAATTTTCTTTTATTTTTTATTTTAATTCATATTTAAATATTTCAAATTAAATAAATATTTTTATAAATAAGTTTATAGTAGTTTATAAATTTTTTTTACAGAAATTAGATGAAAATGTCCTTAATTGGCTAACGAAAATAAACACGAGGACCAAATTGGCCAAATTGAAAACACAAGGACCAAATTAACCCAGTGACTAAAACACATAGACCATTCTAATATTTAAGCCAAAAAATAATATCAAGATATAGTATTTTTCATACATCAATACAATTTATGGCAATATCTTACCTCTAAAAGTTCTGAAGCATATTAATGCACTTGGAATAGCTAGTGAACAATTTGACAAATAGTTTTTTGTTTAACTTTTGTATTTTTTTTTAGCAGCAACTTTATTTCCATTGAACCCCAAAAGAAATAAGAAAACCCTATTAAGGTATCTTTTCTATAGAAAAATAAATAAATTTAGTTAATTAGTTGGACTTGGATACTAAAACGCATTATACCAGAAATACAATAAAACAATTATTATTATCTATACAAAACAATAGTGAATAGTTGAAGACATGTTTATTTTATTATTATTTACTAAATTTATTATTTCTCAAGTTTGAATATCGAGCCGAGCTCAAGCCTTCCTTGACCTATCTCATAAAAAAAATTTGAGCTACTCACGAGCTTTATTAGCCGAACACACCAATGATATAGCTTGACTTGTCTCTTAATCGAGCCAAACTAGACTTGGCTTGATTATTTGACAAGCCAAACACGAGCCAAACTCGATGCAAGCTCGAATTGTTTCGAGCCGATTTACAACTCTATTTGAGGCGAGTTCGATACTTAATTAATTATAACTGGCACATTATGTAGCATAACCAATCTCCCTTTCAATAGAATATTCCTTTATATTACTACATAATATCGTTAAAAAAAATTTATTCCTACCTCCAAAAGTTCCCTTAACTTTTGACCTTAAAGTACTACTAGCACTATGGCTAGTGATTTTCTTCTCAACTTTAAGTGAGATGTCCTAGGTTCGATTAGCATGACTAGTGAGGTTGATACCCAATTGTTACAATTAGCTCATTATGTGGCCTAACCCAAATCCCTAAGGCCTTAATGTAAATATCGTTCTATGAAAGGAAAAAAAAAACTCTTGATCTATAAACTAACTAAGGGTCTTTCGGGATTGCTTTTAGAAGATTAAAAGTGTTTTCTAACAATTAATAGCACTTTTAGGTACATTTGACAAAAGAACTTTAAAACGCTTCTAAGTCGTAGAATCATTTTCTAGAGAGCACCCGATATATATATATATGTGTGTGTGTGTGCGCGCGCGCGCTTATTCAAGAAATACGTTCAATTGCTTTTTCATGAACCACTTAAATTTTTACAAAAGTTTCTGCATGTTTATAATAAACACTTTCAAACACTTGTTGGAATTAGCAAGTTAAAAATTTGGCTGACTTTTATGTTAGGGTTGTTTTAATATTTTTATAATTGCATTCATATTTGGTATTACGGTTCAATATTATTTTCCTATTTGTTCCATGATGAGGTATTTTATAAATGCATATAACTATGTAGGAATGAAGTCTTGATAAGAAGTAGACTTTTCATAATGTAGTTGATTTTGCAATATGAACAAAAATCAGCGTTTGTACTTAACTTTTTCTTGTTTTTTTGTCATTTGATTTGTTAACACTTATGATCAGTAGAAGTGCTTCCTACATAAGCAGCTTAATGATACAAGATTTGTTTGGAAGTACTTTTAAAATGATTGAAAGGCTTTTAGAGAAAATATTTTTAGGTTCCAAAAGCTTGAAATGCGACTTGCCAAAAGCACTACTTATGTGCTTCTTGTAGAAAGCTTCAAGAGTGTTTTTTTTTTTTTTTTCAGAATTCATTTGTATTTTTATTAAAGATTGATTTCAAAAAAAATTTCACCAAAGCGCTTTTAGTCATTTTAAAAGTACTTTCAAACGAGATAACATTATACTCGTAATTTCTTTTGCATTGATGGTATATATATGGTTTACAAACCACTGATAAGATTTATTATATATTCATTGACGGTGGAACCAACAATATAATATATTAGTTGTTAAATTATCAATATGCTATTCAAATCAACAATAGCAACACAAAATTTTCAAGGCAAAAGAATACCCTTTTGATCATGTATTCTGCTCGATCATGTTGCAGAACCACAACAATCCATCTAAATTTGATGCAGATCAGCAATTGGTTATGATCTTATGGATTCAAATATCTCGATTGAGAAAAAAAAAAAATGTGGGACACAAAAACATGAAGGAAAGGGGTCCGTAGACCATAAACATGAGGTAGAGAGCTTAAGTAAAATTAATGTGGATTATTTGACATACGTAAGGATCATCAACATATATGGTCAAGTGCTCTTGTAAAAGTCAAACAAAGCAAAGAATATATCCTTTTTTTTCAGAAGACTTACTTGATTTCTCTTTTTCTTCCTAATTGTAAGGTATTAACTACATTTAATCTTAATTTTCATTTCATTCATCATTACATATTGTTATGAAAATTCAGGTAAATTATATAATATATTTTGATATAAAAAAGTCATTTATTATTTTTTTGATATATCCATTGGGTACATACATTTAGGTACATCACTTCAAAATAATACATTTTAATACATACATTTCGGTACATACATTTAAGTGTATCAAGTCATTATAATATATTTTGGAACAGACATTTAGGTACATAAATTCATTTTAATATATTTTTGGTACGCTAATGAATTCAAATATGCTTCTTATGCGTCACTATTTTCTTTATTGAAGGTTTTCTCATTTTAGGTATATTTATAAGGATATAACTGAAGGAAGTTAAACAAAATTAATACATCAAAATGTGTATATAATTAATAAATTCAAATATTTAAAGAGATTAATATTATACAGATTAAATATTAAAACAAACACAGAATATGGATTTGAATTGAAGTACACATCAAATGACTAAAATCAATATTATCTAACACCAGATTTTAATAAAATTTCAATGTTTTCAAGGAAAAATTACATATAGAGTATACTTTTAATACTTAATTTTATATTGAGACAACATTTTTTAAACATTTCAAGAAGAGATAAAAATTAATACATATAAAAAATGACATCATTAGTTTTTTTTTTTTTCTCTCTAAAATTTAAGTTACAAAAATACTCTCTTATTGCAGCAACGGTGGAACTCCAGGGATGACTATATCCTACTATTTTTCCTTTTCACAATGAGGCAATTAAAAGAAATTGTAAGCAAAAGCAAAATTATCCCAAGGAACACACATGAGGGCTGCTTTGTGATTGGTGGTCCTCATGGTGATGCAGGGCTTACGCAAGATGATGGGGAGCCCACGGTTTTGGACCTGGTGGTGCAAATATTTATATATAATTATAGTAACCTTAGTGGTTTAGTTAGTAAGAGAAAAGCATGGAGATTTAATGACAAAACCAGTCGCAAATCTTATTTTCTACTGAATCATTGAATATTATTATTATTTCTCAATATCATACATAATACTATTCAACTGCATGCAGTGTTATGAAAGGGAAGAAAGCTAAAAGTCTAATGACATAATATGGTGGTGGTAGAAGTATTTTTGCTTGGAATAGAAATTAGATTTTCGTCATCGGCTCGGCAAGTGGTGCCACCGCACAAGGCCCCCAAATCGGAAGGGCCCTTGATTTTTCAATTTTGCATGCATATACATATATATAGTAATATGTGTAGAATATTACAAACTTAAGTCTTAACGCAAGTGGTATTATCGCTTCTTTACATCGGCTTAGGCAATGGGTTTGGAACTCGTCTCCATCATTTTTTTAAGTTTATTTTTATTAAATGCATAAGCTTCCACAAAATGATATAAAAATTTCACACAATAACATGAAAATTTGCACCATGACCCTCTAAATAGTTAAGGAAAAACAATACGACACCTTTCCACATGTTGATTTGGTAAATTTGCTCTGGTGCGGGACTGTCCATACAGAATTGTACGATTAACAATGTATTCCTTGAACCTAAAACACACAGTGCATAAGGGTAAGTATGAGGTAAGAATTTTATTGCAATGGTGCAACAAAATAGTTCCCAAAAATTGGTTATCTTACTACCATTTGTAATTTTCCCTGAAAAAAAAAAAATCGTAGTTTTCTCAGTTTTAGTTTGCTCAATATAAATTAAAGTAAACCAATCATAATTTAATATTTTAGGGCTCCCAAATATGCGTTTGACACATAAAAAGGACACTTGAGATACATATTTATTTTGGAAATGTCTTTAAAATGACTGAGAATATTTTTGATCAAAGTGTTTTGCGTTCCAATAGTACTTGAAGCACATTTTGAAAAGTGTCTCTTGCAAGAAACAACTTCAAGTGCATTTTCAAAATTCACTTGCATTTAGCTACAAAGTCAAACTCCAGCAACCAATTCCTGTACTTTTCTTAATTTTTATTTTGTCGGCGAACAATACAAAATAGATGTACAAAGTACGAAGATCAACGTTTACCTCCTCAACTAAAGTATTCAAAAGTCGATCGTGGCAGTATGATCTTAAAACAATAGAGGCAACAAGCTGTGCCGCGCTTTTTGGCAACGATGCAGAGTATAAGAAAACACTGAAGTCCTCAAATGCACTGGGATTTTCATTCCATCTTGCCCACTTCATCTTTTAAGAAAATATATGTCCTCAAAATTTCTATTTTTCATCAAAATAAGCAGAGTTAGAAAGACTTGGAAATAGACTCTAAAAAAAAGACATGGAGCACTTGGAGCTACTAGAAGACTTGGCGCAAAACCGAGCACAATTGCATTCTAAGATTCATACAACCAACCTCACTTAATGGGATAAGGCTTTGTTGTTTCTTTGTATCAAAAAAAGCAAGCCAACCTTTCAAAATAATTTGACAAAAAAAAAAAAAAAAAAATTTCAAAATAAGATTGGAAGAACTTGTTTACAATGAAATAAATTAAAGAATTGATTTCTGTAGGACAGCAATAGCTTCAAAGGCAGGGCTAGGTAACTGCAGGAGGACAGAGTTTTGTATGGTAAGCATCAAATCATCAATGCAATTTAATTTTTGGGCCAAATATTGAAGCACTTGCTGCGATCTCAACGAATGAAATAGAAATGTAAACCTAAAATTAGAAGGAGCAGTGCAACTGTGTGGACAAGAACTTGAACACACATAACTAATATGTATGCGAAGCAACAACGAAATTAGATCACAATTCTTCTGAATTTTCTGATGCTTATCCGATGGCCGAACTTGCTGCAGAAGGTCACACGAAGAAAAAAGCAATAGACAGAGAGAAATGCAAATAGTTCGTTGTAGCATTCCTTGTTGGACTCTTTTGTTTTCGGTGGAGAAGGTAGGAAAAAATAATGTAGCTTTTTTGTTCATAAACCCTAACAAGAGTCTCGTATATGCATACAAAAAAAAAAAAAAAAAAAAACTTGGTGTTTTGTGTGTGTGTGTGTAGGGTTAGGATCGAGGAACACTCATTTTTTAACATATTTTAGTAGTGCTCAGTTTGTAACGTATTTTAACAATCCAAAATGTTTATTTTTCAAGTTTTCCTTCAAAGATCATTTCTACCATAAATCACCTAAATCCAAAACTATATAACCGTTGGATTAAATGATAGTTGTTTTAAGTGTTTTTTTTTGGAGATAGGTATTCGTCAATTTTCTTCGCTACAATAAATGTTTTAATGGTTATGAATTTGTCTAATTTTGTGCGAAGATGATCTATCAATGATTAATTGAAATATAGATGGTTCGAATCCTTGAAAAGAGTTATAAATGAGTACCACAAGTAAGAGTTTCAAAATGGGCATCCCCCGATCCTAAAGGCTAGTTAGTGTCAAATATGACACTGATCATGCGTTTGAGCTCGCTCCAAAATATTTCTCATAATCCAAACTGTTCATTTTTTAGATCTTCATTCAAAGATCATTCTTACAAAAAAATGACTCTTGGTAATGCCTTCTGTTACACTTTCTAATTCCGAGATTTGCTCACCCAAGCAATTGGGTTGTGCGCATGAACCGCGTAGATCCTATATTAACAACATATCCCCGCGATATTGATAGTATATAGATAATGATCCTCATTACACTGTCATTATGATGAAGATACATCGTCAATACACTATCTACTCGGGTCATGCACAAACTATGCACACAACCCAGGGTCACGGGTAAGCATTTTCATTCTAATTTCTGTAAGGCACAGGAGGAACTCCGGGACTGGCGGAATACCGACGTCAGATTGAACTCGGGCATTTTAGCATTTAGAAAAATGAAGGCCACTTTCAAAACCCAAATAATTGTAAGACACCCCCTTAACTAGTATGTTATCCAAAATTATACCGATGAATGGCATCAACATCTATACAGAGCCAAGAGCCTTCTGCGTACTGCCGTCTGCCATTACACTGATGAATGGAGTCAGCATCTTTCGAAAATCCGGTATAGTTTCTCCAGTGAAGCTACCTGTGCAGGATTAAGCGTAAGGTGAGTGACCAAGCTAGCCCAGCGTACTGAAATAATCTGAAGAATCCTGGAGTAATTAATTAAGATATGTCTTTGGCCGTAAAGAAATGTAGCATACCCGTACAAATGTTCCGTTTGTAGCCATAGAATTTGGTGGCTTGAAAAAGAGCCTCATTGATGGAAACAAAACATGCTGGATTGACCATTCGCGCTGAGCCCATGCATTTTCTGCCTCTGCAACTAGTTCGTGCTCAATTTCATTTTCTGTCATGACGTCGTCATCTCCTGCAAACACCAAAAATCACTTCAAGGTACTTCAGAGAAATAACCGGTGATGTGCTGTATGTGGGGGAAAGGGCACAAGAAATGACATCCTTGTTCCCAGCAGCAATGACAGTGGAACATAAGCCCGGATCTCGCTCAAACACGATGTTTTCAAACTTATTCCAACTGAGTTGATTCATTCAGTTCCAATTCCCAGGCCAAACAAGTTTGGAATAGTCTTCTTTGATCGAGTTTTTCTCTTTTAGTAAATTAATAAAATTAATCCCAAAACTGAATACAATCAATCGAATACCTGGATATCCCTATGGAATTGAAGCATAAATAAAAGGAATAGGTTATGACGTTTTGGAAGATAAAAAGGCAACCATTGAGATGCCTGGAGATCTCCATCGATACACTGAATGCAATTTTGCAAATTGACAACAAAGGTACGCCTATTGTTACTGTATTTCTCTATCTCCTAGAAATGTGTCATGATTGCTGACTTGAGAAGCAGTAAAAGACACCTCCCAATCCAAGCACAAAGCAAAGGTAAAATTCTAGAAAGTAAATCTTCAACCTATTCATGTCATTGTTTTAATCACACTAACTCAAGATTCCCATCAGCCTCAATTATACATGATTTCTCCTTCTAATGATGTACACTGGTTCAGATTTAATGGAAGGTTAAAAATATAGTCTCTTTTTCCACGCGAAAACTAACTTTTAAACATTTAAAATCACTTTATAGGACCGAACAGTACTTAACACATCACTATATTTGAACAGATCCAGCTGCAAACATACCAGTATTGCATGACGTACTTTCTTCAGGATTCCTAAAAGGCTTTCTCTTTTGGTAAAATTGTAAGCCATCACCAGATGGGTTGGGCAACATAGGAGGATGCATGGCATAGAAGTTTCCAAGTGCAGCTGAAATTACTTGAAGGCATTTTTTTTCCTCCTCCCAATCAACCTAGAACAACGAACAGAAAATTAAAGTTTACAAAACAAGATATTTCTTAATAAAGAGCTGCCCAATATCTAACTAGGTCCCAGCTTTCATCTACTCCCGCAACCTGATAAACCTCAAAAGTTTCTATTACGCTCCATCCAAATATTCCAAAAAACTGCCACCAAACAACCCCACTAACTTTAGGTTTCTTCCCCCTTCCTAAAGCCTCAAACTTGTTACTTAGAAGCTCAAAACAACCCTTTGGAATAACCCAACTGGCTTTACTTTCCAACGTACAAGGAATTGTACAATTAGCATTGAGCATCACCACAAAAACCAGTAAAATTATCATTTCTGCAAAATCATGATAAGGAAGAAAATACAAAAGAACTTACATCGTTGCCCAAACAAAGCACAAGTTCAGGGACACGATCCATGTCAGGTGTGTATTGATCGAGTATGACTGGAAGCCTAGACAAATTTCCGTCATTATCTATATGAATGGAAAAATACTCCCCCAACATAGCAGCCTTTTGCTTGAGTAGTTCTGTATTCATCTGCAGAAGCATCATGACTCACTATGTTATAGTGAAATCAAAACTCAGCTAATTAAGACTAATCGGCTTTAAAGTACTGGATGTTAGAAAAGATGTTCAACCCAGAATAATGGACCGTGAAGTACACTTGCAGGAGGAACTAAAATTGGACAGTTTTTATCATTGAACCGAAGGCAGAAGGTCACGTCCACATTCTCTTAAAATCTTGACATCAAGAGTTGCCTGTTTGTTCTAGTGATGGTTGGGGTGGGTTCTTTTCTTTGTTTCTGTTTTTTGTATTATTTTCAACATTTAATGGATTTGTTTGCTTATTACTATTTTGGCCGTGAAATCACACGCAACTATAATGCAAGTCAGATCTGCTAGCAATTTTTGGATTATTAAATAAGGGTTTATTAAGAAATTTCTCTATGATTATGAGGGAAGGTTCCAATATTTCATCATAAGAGACATACATAATGATAAACCAAAAACTGAAGAAAGTGCATGCATTACCTCTGCAATCTTCTCGTTAAGTTCATGATTCACACTGCATTCTGGATCCTCCTCCTCTTTTAGTGCCAACACAATCAACTCCTTCAGTGGGGCTGGCTCACTTATTTGTATAGCATTAAAATGGGCAAACCGACGCAGAACTTGCTGATACATGAGCTCTTTGCTGTAATTTCATTGAGAAATAATTCATGTATTAGTAAACTTGTCTTCAGAAACAATTTATTCAATAGGAAACAAAAATTTATAGAAGACGGAAGTACAAAGTACAACAGGGAAAGGACAAGAAATCCATTAAAAACAAACCTACAACAAAACAAAACAAGGAAAGCTTGGACCAAATCAAACAAAAAGATGCAAGAACAGGCCGCCACACTCGTTACAAAGCTACAGACTAATCAAGATGAATGGCACCAAAAGAAACATCTCTTAAGTGTTTTAACAAAGACGGCCACAAGGAAGCAAGAAATCTATTCATAGAAGATCTATAAAGTAAACACCAATTGAAGGGTTGACTCCCTGTCATTTAAATTAGGTTTGTTTGGGACTGCTTCAGTACTCATAAGTGCTTTTGCTAGAAGTGCTTTTATTGGAGGCATGTTGCAATTTTTGTTAAAAATCCAAGTGCTTCCGAGGAAGCATCTGCCAGGTGCTTTTCCAGACAGCGGTTTTATGACCCGGCAGCAATTTTAACTTTTTTCTGCATTTTCTTCTGCTTGATGACGGATTCTTTGGTGGATTTGCTTTTTGGATTTTCCCCAGCTCTTCTAGTTTCTACCTTGTATGTTTTTTGGCTCTGGGTTTTTTGCGTCCGTTTTCTACCGTTCAAGATCAATTACAGCCCTTTCCTCAGACTTTTTCTTGTCTTTTCAAGTTCAGGACTTTTTTTCTAGTACCTTGCTCACTAAAGTTGAGTTCTACAATGGGAAACAATGATAAGTCTGCACTGACTTGAATTATTCACAGCACACAACTGCTCAGCATATTACTAGTGTAATGATAAATGGACGAAACTTTTCATCGTGGTCTGTTGAGTTCATTGGGAGAGGAAACCAGGTTGGTTATTTGGTACCGTCAAGAAGCCAAACCAAACAGATAACCATTTTGCATGGTGGCATATGTGCAGGAATGGAATTTAATCAATATAATTCTAACAGAGATATATTGTTTTGAGTAAGCTATCCAAACAGTCTTAACACTCCACAAATTAGAACTCATTTTGTTATAATTTGATGTCATCAGAATCTAGTGACAAATGTCTAATCTTCTATCAGTCTTTACTTAAGCAACAACATCAATTCTGGGACTTTTACCATGTCATGCTTTGATTTTACCCTTGCCAATGTTCAGAAGGGAGACTCCTGAACTGAAAATTTTCAGCAACTTGATGCTTTTAACATTTGAAGAGCAGAAACTATTGAATGTAGTCCACATTACAAGATATTGCAAATTGCTATATATTTAAGCGACTGGATCATTACCTCAAGTTCACTACATTTGCAAGATAAAGATGGGTATCATGCTGAAGCAGTGCAAAAACATCATCAGCCATTCCAATGTATGTGCAGTGTCTCACAATGTCCAGTAGACCTACAATACCAAAGGGCATCAACTAGATCTAGCTAACATAAAGCAAGTCTCCCCATTTAACAGACAAATAAACTTAGTCAAAAACTAACCAGAATGACAATTGCCATCAATTTCATCAATAAGCTCCTGAAGGCTGGTCAGATCAGCAGTTTCCTTTGGGTTTCGTCTTAGTCTAACAGAAGATCTGTAATTCAACATTTTACATACAAATTGAAGTGCTTACATTGAGATTTTGAAATTACATATTTAATGGAATGAATATCAAACAAAAGAGTTAAAAATATTTTAGATGATACAACAAACCAAGATTAACCTTACACTAAAGCACAGTGAGGTTCCCAGGAAAGGAAAAAAAACACAACAACTGGATGAGAAAGAACAAGAAAAAGACAAGGATAATGAGGAACTACGTTACTATGGGTGATATGGACAAGATGATTTGGAAGAGGAAGTGACCACTTCATTTGTCTCAATTGTGAGGTTCTTTTGAAAAAAAAAAAAATTATAAGGATGAAAGTTTGAGTGGACCAATGACAGTTTTGGAGAATAACGAGGTTTCAGCACATAGTCCTGATACGAGGAAATGGAAACTAGACTCATCAGGGGTTTTTTCTTGTAAGCCAATTTTTTATTTATTTTCTGTGTGATAAGCAGTCCCCTAATGTGTTCCAGCCTACTAAACTGATGACGGAAATCTATTCCTCCTCCAACCCGGTAAATCAATGTGTTTCTTGCTTCTCTTTCTTGCAGAGTTTACAAGTATTAAAATTATTGTTCAAGGACGACATAAGGTCTTACCTAACAGCTGTCAAGCTAGCATTCCTTTCAAGATGGCCACGAGGATCGGGTTGCAAATACACATGCAACCTACCAGCAGGATTTGATGAATCCGTTCTAACCATTTTATTCACTGGAACCTTGTGTAATTTTGATGCTGCTAATAATACAACCATATAAAACACTTCAGAACTGAGAACGGTACCAGAGTTATAGTTAAATGAATATGGCAACATTCGAAGCCAACAGAAGGTATGAACACAATCTAAAGGAAGGAATTTAAACTTACCAGATGGTGAGGGGTTCTGATTTGAATCCTTTCTTGAAACCATTTGGCTGGATGAAGAAGGTTCGACTGCCTGTAATGTGAATTGGACAAAAGATGACAGGATGATGCACAACTTAGATGGTAATATTCATTAGAATCAGGACTCCAGAGATGGAGTCAAACTAAAAGGAAAGGAGATTCAGAAGATAAGTGCAGATTCTGTCTACCTGTTCCTGAAATGTTTGTGTCTCATTGGAGCTTCTCAACCTCCATTCAACCACTGACTGTATCTTCTCAATGATGATTTCCTGATTCAGAAGGCTTACCTGCATAACAAAAGAGTTTCATTTTCGATATAATAATAAAAAAGTAAATATTTGGTGTTTTAAAGGTTGACTGAATTTTCTAAATAATCTCACACAACCCTAACACTAGAAACACATACCTCTCTCTTTGTCGGGTGAACATTCACATCAACATGTTCAGGTGGTAACATAATTGACATGTATATGAAGGTTTTGATGCTTTTGGCAATGTGGCAGCATAAACAACTTCTAGAGCTCTCTTCAGAGCGGTGCAATCAACCAATCTATCTGTGGTTTTAAGAAAAGAAAAACAAACAGTATAAGTCAAAAAGAAGAAAAACGAATAAGAAAACATATCAACAATTAGGGACACTACTAATATAAATAACCTCCAAGGTGTGAAATTAGAGAACTGTTACCTACGATTTACAATATTTCCAAAATTCAACTTAGTGTGCTAAAATACCACTAAATATGAAATAATAATCTTTAATATTATAATTTTCTTGTGTTAACAAGGCATTCCATGGATAGTTCATACCATTTATATAAAGCACCATGGTTATCTTCTTGGCAACATAGTTTGAATCAGAGATAAAGCCATCCATCTGAAAAACGGAGCTAGAAGGATCTTTATCTGAAGCTTCTATTTTCATCAGACTGCGAGCAACAGACACCCCATACACCGATCGAATTGCATCAATCCTTGATGCTGTGGAAACAGAATTAACATCTGCTCTAGCCGCTCCATGCTGATAGTTATACCATACAAAAAGATTTTAATCGGGATTTTGAATTTCTAGCCATGAAAAAGATCGGTGAAGTAGAAAGATAAGTTCCTTAGTGAGTGAAACAGCAACCTACCTTTCTGCAGGAGAAACTAACATTCATATGATGAATTGCAAACCGGCTTAGCAAATCTACAATCTTTGAATAATCATCAGCAGAATTTTGTAGTGTCTTCCTCCGGGCGGTCATGTTATAGAATAAGTTCTCAATCTGATAACAAGTACCACCACTTAATTCACCAGTAAAGATAATTTCATCCCATTAAACCAAAACATAGAAAGTAATTCATCACATTTGGCAGGCATTCAACGTCCAGCAAAATGGTCATTTGCCTTCTTTCCTTTAAACCATTTGGTTTTTTTGTTAAACTGCTCTAATTGTTAACAATTTAAGACTAAAGCAAACCAAGAGCAAAATTGTTGTTCACACCGTTATTTGAGTTCCTTTTACAGCAGCGCACGCCTTCGGTTCGTGCTCCATTACACCATCTTTATAAGATACCCTGAAACCACAAAATTATAATTATTTCAAAACTAAATCATAAATTACAAGTATAACACAATAATTATCACTAAGATTAAATGAAAAGGCCATTTCTTTCTATGAACAAATCATATAATTTTCTGGGAATTTCATCAAACAGGTAATGGGCACGCACCTATAACCATGCAACTGGCCTTTGGTAATGGTGGTGACGGTGACGTGAGCTACGTACGTCATGCTGGCAAGTGCTTCTCCTCTGAACCCCATCGACTTTATCGACTGCAAGTCCTCAAACGCCGAGAGTTTCGACGTCGTGTGCCGCTCACACAGTATCGGCAGGTCCTCATACTGCAATGAATCGTAAATTCGCAAATAAATTTAGAAATAATTCAAAATTAATAAAATAGAAAAAAGATAAGTGAAGAAAGGACTGACGCGGATGCCGTGGCCGTCATCCGAGACTTGGATGAGTTTGAGGCCGCCGTCCTTGACGACGACGTTGATGGAGGAGGAGCGAGCGTCGAGGCTGTTCTCGACGAGCTCTTTAACGGCGGAGACAGGGCGTTGGATGACCTCGCCGGCAGCGATTCGGTTCACCACAGACTCTTCTAGGCGGTGAATTTTGGGTGGCTCCGTCGCGACTTGCTCTTCTTCTTCTGCCTCAATTTCCATTTCCCTTGCACTGCACTCGTTTGGAAGCGCCAAATTTTCCCGACACCGCCAAAACGAAGAAGAAGCGAGTATAATTATATTTTACTTTTTATTATTATTTTTTTGTTCAATTAATGGAGTTTGCTACTTAGTACAATGGTGCAACGATATTTCTTTTCATTTGTACCTGAGATCTTATAATCGATTTTTGCCAAGTAAATTTGAACCACATTATTATTGCTAGATCAATGTGAAGTTTAACTCACTCCACACCCTTTCAAAAATAATATAAAATTGTGTTACGAAAATATACATAAGTGTAATTACAATGAAAGAGGTAAATTTGAGATATAAAACTTATATTTACATTTCATAAGTTTTTGGTAATAAGGTTTAAAGCTCCTATAGCGTCTATTAATTAGCCATAAAATTTCATCTTAAAATAAACGTGACGAAGTTCACAAGTTTAAAACCATATGTAAAATTCACCAAAAGTATGTACTAATTCACCAAGAGCGTAGTTGTTGCTTGCATCTACAATTCTAAGAGATCAAATGTGAATTTCTCATTTATAGGCTAGAATTATACAATTCGAAGCTCGCCTTCCGTAAATAAATAAATAAACAAGTAATTCTCTTTTTATAATTCTCAAAATTTTCCAAAATTTGACCATTTTTCATACAAGTATGATTTTTTTGCCATTTTTGTACTTTCGTTAATTTGTTTTGTCAAATGCCTCCGTTTATTAACGAAATGACATGGCTTTAGTCGACTCTCTGTCACATTATGAATTAATGATCGGGTGAACAATGTTAAGGAATCTCCTACATCAAAGGAGATCAGTTCGTCAACAACACAATCTGCTTCATCAACTGCACAATTGGCTCCTTCGTATGAAAGTCAACTATGATATATGCTATGCTGTCTTTCCTATTCTATTTGATCAGAATTGATTCAGTCATTCAAGTATGATTGTATTTACCATATTAGGATTATATTCAAAGTGTATATAATCACAGATTTGTACCTATAAACAATTCAATGAAATATATCGATTCTATATGGTATCACGAGCCCAAAAACTCCAACGAGCAATTTTTTGTTGATCCCTCTCTTTCCTGTCTTCATCCATGGCCACTGACGCCGCTACAACCAACCTTCTACCAGACCTCAACTCCACTAACCCCACCTTGATCACCATAAACGCTACAGCCCAATTACTTGTGAAACTCACACCCACCAATTACCCATCCTAGCGTGCTCAGTTCACCGCCCTTCTTTACGGCTACGACCTCATGGGTTATGTGGATGGTTCTCATCTCTGCCCATCAACCACTCAAACCGTGCTTCGCACCTTTTGGATTCAGCAAGATCAACTCCTCATTCATGCGATTCTTGCTTCCGTCTCCCCGCAGGTCATCTCCCTTATTGCCTCGGCCAAGACATCCAAGGAGGCTTGGGACAAGCTTCTTCATCTCTTTGCTAGCAAAGCCCGTGCCCGCGTTCTTGGTCTCAAAGAACGCCTAACTCTCCTGCGTCGTGAGAACAAGCCTGTCTCTGAGTATCTACAAGAAGTCCGCGTTATTGCAGACGAGCTTGCCATCATTGATGTTCCCCTCTCTGATGATGATTTCCTCCTCTACATTCTTAATGGTGTTGGCTCGGACTTCAAGGAAATTGCTGCGGTAGTTCGTTCCCGCGACACCTCAATCTCTTTTGAAAACCTGCATGACAAACTGGTTGAACATGAAGCTGCTCTCAAGCGTGATGATACCGTTGTTGTACCCCCAGTGATCACTGCCAATGTCACTCAGACATCTCGCTTCCACACCTCAAATCGTGGATTCCGCTCTCACAACTCCAACTCCAACCGTGGGTCCTTTATCTCTCGCAATCCTTCTCGTGGTTCCTTTGAGCACCCCCACACATCTTCCATTGCCACCAATTCTCGTGGTTCCTACAAGCCCATCCAACAATCTTTCACTAACAATGGTCGCCGCTCTACCAACATGAACAACACAGGTTATCGTGGTTTCTGTCAATGGTGTGGCACTCAAGGTCACAGTGCCAAACGCTGCCCTCAACTCCAATCTGGACCTTCCAGTCCGCTCGTGGCCAATCCTACCACCCATGGCCGGTCCACCTCTTCTCCAACATGGTTGCTTGATTCTGGTGCCTCTCACCATGTTACCTCCAATGTCAACACTCTCTCTGGTGCAGCCATATATGATGGTCCTGATGAAATAATTATTGGTAATGGTTCAGGTTTGGGTATCACACATGTCGGTTCAACCACTTTACCCTCCTCATCCTCCCAATCTTTCAGCTTATCCAACGTTCTATGTGTTCCTTCTATGAAAAAATACATTATTTCTATCTCTAAATTTAATAAACAAAATAATACCTCTATTGAACTTTTTCCTGATTTCTTTCATGTCAAGGATCTGAGCACGGGGGCGGTTCTTCTTCGAGGCCCGAATAAGGATGATGTGTACGAGTGGTCTCCTAAATCATTTCATCAACCACAAGCTATGGTGGGTGTGGTGGTCTCTCCCAACCTCTGGCATCGTCGTCTTGGTCACCCCAGCCATCAAACTCTCTAACAAGTCCTTCGTATGTCTTCCATTAATGTGTCTTCCAAGTTGTTCAAGTCTGTTTGTCATTCATGTCTATGTAATAAAAGCCATCGTCTCCCGCTTGGTACTTCGTCTCTCACCAGTCATGGTGCATTAGACCTCCTTTATAGTGATGTTTGGGGCCCTGCTCCATACTCTTCAATTGATGGTTTTTCTTACTATGTTATCTTTGTTGATCATTTTACAAAATATATATGGCTCTACCCTCTCAAAAAGAAATCTGATGTGTTTTCCACTTTTGTCACCTTCAAAGCACTTGTTGAAAATTACTTCAAAAGAAAAATCACTAGATTATACACTGATGGTGGGGGCGAATTTATTAAACTCCAACATTTTCTCTCATCCAATGGCATTACCCATCTTCTTACACCACCTCACACTCCTCAACACAATGGAGTCGCCGAACGACAACATCGTCATATTGTTGAAACTGGTCTCACACTTCTTCATCAAGCTTCTTTACCTCTCACATATTGGTCTTATGCCTTTAAAACAGCTACCTATCTTATCAACCGTATGCCCACTCCGATTCTTAATAATCTCTCCCCATTCACTCAACTCTTTGATGAACAACCCAACTACTCCCGTCTTCGTACATTTGGGTGCTTGTGTTTTCCTTGGTTACGTCCTTACAATTCCAATAAATTACTCCCTCGTTCCCGCCCATGTCTCTTCCTTGGTTACTCATCTAATCAAAGTGCTTTTCAGTGTCTTGATCTTTCCTCCAACAAACTTTTTATCTCTCGGCATGTTCAATTCGATGAGTCCACTTTTCCTCTTGCTAACCTCCCTTCCTCCACTCCCCATGTCACGGTTGATAACTCTCACACTTGGGTCTCTTCTCTTTCTCCAGTTACTCATGTTCCTGTCCACTGACCCACCAGGCCTGTTGAGTCGGTTGTTTCTTCTTCACTGCCACCATACGTCACATCATCATCATCATCAGAATCTGCCCAAACTGATCAAGTCCAGCCACCTCCTCCCAACAACCCCGTTCGTACGTACACTAGAAACCTTCATAGGACTGTTGTCACCTTTCCATTCTCTAACCCACCCTCCCCCAATCCCCCCGTACCTCCTGTGCTCCCCGATCATTCCATGATCACCCGTGCCAAAGCCGGTATCCACAAACCCAATCCTCGGTATGCTATGACTGCTACTCAACATCCCATTCTCTCCTCAGTTAAACCGACATGTGTCTCTCAGGCTGTCAAGGATCCCCTTTGGCGACAAGCAATGTCCAATGAGTTCAATGCGTTAATTCGCAATGGTACATGAGAGCTTGTTCCTTCCCTTCCCTCTCAAAATCTTATTGGTTGTAAGTGGGTGTTTCGTATCAAACGGCATCCTGATGGCACTATTGACAGGTACAAGGCACGCTTAGTTGCCAAGGGTTTTCACCAACGTCCTGGTGTTGATTTTTCAGATACTTTCAGTCCGGTGATCAAACCTACTACCATACGCATTGTTTTGCATCTTGCCGTGACTCATGGGTGGCCAATTCGTCAGTTGGACGTTAACAATGCTTTCCTTAATGGCACACTCTGTGAAAATGTCTATATGGTCCAACCACCTGGTTTTGTTGACTCTAATCATCCATCTCATGTGTGTAAATTGAGGAAAGCCCTCTATGGCCTCAAACAGGCTCCCCGGGCATGGTACAAGGAATTACACTCATTTCTGCTCTCCTATGGCTTTGTCAATGCCATCTCTGATGCCTCACTCTTTCTCTTGAAAAATGGGACGGCTGTAATTTATTTTTTGGTTTATGTTGATGATCTTTTTATTACAGGAAACGATTCCTCACTTGTAGCCAAGTTCATTCACCTGTTGGCAACTCGGTTCTCCGTCAAGGACCTGGGCTCCTTACATTACTTTCTTGGTGTTGAAGTCCTTCCCACAGCCACTGGCCTCTTCCTCTCTCAGCACAAGTACATTCATGATCTTCTTGTCAATGCCAAGATGGATGGTGCAAAGGCTGTCAGTACGCCTCTCTCCACCACTCAATCACTCATGCTCCATGATGGCTCCTCCCCAACGGATCCCACTCCCTACCGTCGTCTTGTTGGTGGTCTTCAATACCTCAGCCTTACATGCCCTGACATCTCCTTCACAGTCAATAAGCTCTCTCAATTCATGCATTCTCCTTCCGAGACTCACTAGCAGGCACTCAAGCGTCTTCTCCGCTACTTGAAGGGTACCATTTCCTTTGGCCTTCATCTTTGTCGTCGCCTCTCTCATCGTCTCTATGCCTTTTCCGATGCTGACTGGGCTGGTGATCGTGATGATCGCAAATCTACGACTGGCTATGTTGTCTATCTCGGTGGCAATCTCATCTCTTGGAGCTCCCGAAAGCAGCGGTCTGTCTCTCGCTCCTCCACCGAAGCCGAATATCGGGCCATTGCTGCCACCGCTGCTGAACTCATATGGATTCAGTCCTTACTGCGTGAACTTGGCATTTCTCTCCCCACAACACCGGCTGTTTCTTGTGATAACATTGGAGCCATGTTCTATTGTGCTAATCCTGTCCTACATTCCCGTATGAAACATATCGATATTGATTTTCAGTTTGTACGGGATCGTGTCACTCGTGGTCTTCTTCAAGTCTCTCATGTCTCCACTACTGATCAGCTTGCAGACGCTCTCACCAAATCCTTGCCACGTCCACGTTTCCATCTCCTTCGTTCCAAGATCGGTGTCTCCGATGGTGCCACCGTCTTGCGGGGGCGTGTTAAGGAATCTCCTACATCAAAGGAGATCAGTTCGTCAACAACACAATCTGCTTCATCAACTGCACAATTGGCTCCTTCGTATGAAAGTCAACTATGATATATGCTATGCTGTCTTTCCTATTCTATTTGATCAGAATTGATTCAGTCATTCAAGTATGATTGTATTTACCATATTAGGATTATATTCAAAGTGTATATAATCACAGATTTGTACCTATAAACAATTCAATGAAATATATCGATTCTATAAACAAAAGTATGGGTTTTTACCTAAAACTTGTAACCTCGCACAAAAATTTCATTACATCCTACACTAAATGAGATTCTGTTAATGTACCTGTTAAATTATGAACATGGGTTGTGAGATTTTATTTCAAGGGCATTGGTTCAAGTAATAGTAAACCACTTTATTCTTTTTGCAAGTAAAACTGGATCGCTCAGTCATTGTCGAAGTCAATTTTTTGGAAGTGCGTCAAGCTGATCTACGCTAACAATGGGATAATTTTTTTAGTACGTATTACAATGCATGTATGTTTTAAATTATTAATCGGGGACAAATTATATATTTTAGAATTATTATATGTGAATAGGACAGGGTAATAATTAAAATGAAATTATACTTGTTTATACATGCATGTTTTCACGTATATTGTAATGTTGTCAAAACACAACAAAATATGCATGAAATCAAAGGAACCTGTAGTGCGTGTGCAAATATCAGTCAAACATGCTAATGCCATGAACATATACATTTTAAACAAGCTTGTCATTCAACCATTTTTATTACTCGTCTGAATACTCTCCTCAAGAACACCAATGGATCCTGATGGTATGAATCCAGTTCCGGTAAGAAAATTTAGTAAGCGTCATCTGCTAAATACGAATTTATTACTTCTTAATATATTTTTTTTCTTCTAAATTTATATGCCTGCATGCATGTCCATAACGAAAATAATTACTGGTTGATGTACTGCAGACAGTGGAGATCAAAGTCAATTGGCAAGGAGCAATAGGCACACTGGTGGTTCCCTACTCTGCAAGAATTATCGAAGTAAAACTACTGATTTCGCAAACGCTTACCTTCCCAGTCACCGCTGATGGGCCAGATCTCTCATGGCCAGGTACAGTTGTCCCAGTCGCAGCAGATAGGCAAGAGCTCTCACGGGAAGGGCTCGTTTTGGAAGATCAACTTACTGTCCAAAGCTATAACATTCCTGCTAATGCCACCATCCTTGTCTTTGACAAGATTAAAGTTGGGATTTCTATAGTGGCTAGCAACTTATATTGTGAAGTCTTTGTGTACCATGGTACTACTGTCGGTGAGTTGAAGGCGAAAATTCATGCAGACTATGGCGTGGATGTCGCACATAAGGTAGTGCGTAAGGAGAACCGTAATCTTGATGATCGTGCTACTCTGTGGTCTGCTAGAGTCGTCGAAGGAACTGTGTTACTTCTCCTGGGATAGAAATGATCATATGGAACGATTAATACTTCACGGTTTCGAGCGGATCTTGGTAACTTTGGCTTGCTGCAAATTAAGTTTTATGAGTAGACTAATACTATATTATATAATAAAGCTTATGAAGCATATATATTTACTATCAATTTCAGTTTGAAGAATGAAAAGAAATATGTATCTAATATCTATCATAGATGATGCATATGTGAAATAAATAAAGATCTGTTTATGTGAAAAATCTCAGTTTTCAACCAGTTTGACACGTATTTTCAACGAGTCTTTTATATGTCAGCGTGAAAATATGATACGCAAATAGGGAGGAAGCAAAGTGTTCTAATAAAATCTGAATCAGAAGCCTTCATAGGCACATCAAGATCTTACAAACGTGAAAATCTGAGGATAAGTTCCCTGCAACAATCTGCATTTGGTTTTACTGTTCTAAGTAACCTGACATGGCTTCTTTTGCCGGCAAGTTGTGATAGCGCTCCGTTCGCTCTCTTTCTGTTGCATAGACGGTAGCTGCAGATTCCATTAGAACAACCCCATTGCCTTTGACTGCATCCAATTAATGCATCTGTAAATTCCTTGAAGTCCTTTAAGCTGCGGGACAAAAGAATTGGCACTTAAAAACATTGAACAAGTAAAATCTTCACGAGCGTGCTAGTACCAAACCTTTAACAATGTATGTTTGGTACTAGCACGATCGGATTCCTAATCTGAAAGTAACATGTGAGCCATGTACAGTCAGAAATGGAAAATGGAAAATGGAACGGTATAGATTAGTTTGTATCATATCGTGTAAACACGTAATTCGTGTATAAGTGTAACAATAATAAAAGAGAAAATTTGAGATACAGAAATTATACTTTACATTCATAAGTTTTTGGTTATCAAAGGCTTAAAAGTTCTTCTTAGCGTCTACACTAAAAGATGCTGACAAGAGGCATAAGCTTGATCGAGATAACCTAAAAAATACTATAAACTCGAGTTAGTCTTAGTCTATTCATTAGCCATAAAATTCCATCTTAAAGTAAACATGACGAAGTTCACAAGTTTCAACTGTGTGTAAAAATTCATCGTCGTGTTGCTCACATCTACAGGTCTAAGTGATCTAAACATGAATTTTTCTGTTTATAAGCTACAAATATATTATTCGAAGCTCACTTTACAATAAATAAACTAGTGAATTCTCCTTTTATTATTCTCAAAATTTTTAAAAATTTGACTTCATTTTTTCATACTAGTTTGATTTCTTCAGCAATTTTGTACTTCCGTTATTTTTTTTTTTTATCAAGTCCTCTATTAATTAATGAAGTGACATAACGATGGTTTATGTTGGTATTCCTTTTCACTTGAAAGTAAGAGGTCTTAAATTTGAATCTTGTGGATGGCGAATTCGATACCAAATTAGGCTGCTCATTGTATAGTTTTGCCAAACTTCTCATTCTTTTAATGTAAAAATATCGATGTAATGAACAAAACAAAAAACAAAAAAAATAAACCCTATTAAACTAAACCCCTTCCTTAAACCCCAACCACAACCCTGCACCTTTCCAATCCTCCTCAGCCCCAATCCTGAATCATCTCTTCCCTCCGCCTCCCCTAACCACCCCAAACCTGAAATCCCAACAGCTTTGGGTCGTCGGAGAATACATAGGAGGTGCTCTGGGTTCGTCCATGGATGAAGGATGCCGAATCTTGAACCAGCATGATACCTGCCTCCTCTTCCTCTCTAGTCTCAAAACTCCTCCTCCTCACGCGGCGGTGCCGCTCTCTCTCTCCCTATTCTACTTTACCCCCGTTCTCTTCCAAAACCCTGATCCACCACATCTCCAACGCCTTCCTCCAAAACAACCCCAAGCTCTTAAACCCTCATTTTCTCTCCAAATTACAACCCCACCACCTCCACCCCATCCTCCTCTCCCTTCAATCCAACCCCGTTTCGGCCCTCCGCTTCTTCGACTGGTCCCACGGCTCCCTCGGCCTCCACCACTCCCCGCAGTCCTTCTGTGACCTCATTCACCTGCTGCTCCGCCACCGGATGCTCGCTCCGGCTTCCCGCCTATTCGACACAATGGTAGGTCAGTTCGGGTCTCAGTTTAACTATTTTGCTGCATTTTCTGATTATTTTCGGAATCACAGTTCCGATGTTAGTCTTGTTTGTAGCTTTCTGATTGAGAATTTTTGTCGAAATGGGATGTTGGATTCGTCTGTTGATACCTTCATTCGTATGTATAAATTGGGTGTTCCGGTGTCTCCTTATGCGTTGTCTAGAATGCTGAATTGTTTGGTTGATGCGAATCACGTCGACATGATTCTCGATGCATATGGAGAAATCTGTAGTGCATTGAGAGGACAACAATTTTATGTGTATGAGTTTGTTATGGTTGGTCTTCTGAACAAGGGTAGATTCGAAATGGGTTTGGAATTTCATTCTGCATTGATTGACAGAGGCTTTTCGCTTGACATTGTTGCTTGTAACAAGATTTTAAAACGTCTTTGTAAAGAAAATCAGGTTGGAGATGGTGAAGATTTCTTTACGGTATTGCTAACAGTTGGTCCGAAGCCAAATGTGGTGACGTTTAGCACGATGATTAACAGGTATTGTAAAGATGGGAAATTGGAAGAGGCAAAGAAGCTTTACAAGATTATGATAGAGAAGGGTATCGGTCCTGACTTGGTTGTATATAGTATCCTAGTTGATGGTTTTTTTAAGGCAGGGAAATTCGAGGAAGGGTGTTGGCTTTTTTCAGCGGCGTTGGATTGTGGGATTAAGTTGGATGTAGTCATTTTCAGTTCTGTTATGGATGCTTACGTGAGAATTGGAGATCCGGTGAAGTCAGTGGAGGTCTACCGAAGAATGCTGAAAGAAGGGATCTCACCAAACTCTGTTAGTTACACCATTCTTATTAACAGCATGTGTCAGGATGGTAAGGTTGTGGAGGCTTGTGGAATATTTGGTCGGATTTTGAAGTGTGGTTTTGTGCCATCGATTCTGACTTATAGTAGTCTGATTGAAGGAATGTGCAAAATAGGGCATTTAAAAGATGGATTTCAGCTGTACGAGAGTATGATCAAGATGGGCTATGAACCTGATATTATTCTTTACGGTGTGTTATTAAATGGCCTTTGCAAAAATGGGCTGATGGGTGATGCTCTTAGGTTCTTCTTTCAAGCTGTTCATAGGGGCGTTAAGCCAAATGTCTATACTTTCAACATGTTAATAGATGGTTTCTGCAGATTGAAACGATTGAGGGATGCTGTGAAGGTGTACATCCAAATGGGAATTTATAACATAAAACCAGATGTGGTGACGAATACCGTGCTTATTAAGGGTATTTCTGAAGTAGGGAGATTAAACGATGCGTTGGTGTTTTTCTTCCAATCAGTAAAGAAGGGTTTCTTACCTGATGTTGTAACATATTGCACACTGATTGATGGTTGCTGCAAGCAGAAACATTTACATGCCGGACTCTGGCTATTTGAGATGATGCAAAGAAATGGAGTAAATCCCGATATTGCCATTTATAATGTCCTCATCAATATGCTGTTCAAAGAAAATTGCATAGATGCTGCGCAGGAAGTCTTTGAGCGGTTTGCTGAAAGTGGTCCTGAACCTGATATCATTACATACAACACAATGATTTGTGGTTATTGCTTTCAGAGAAGGTTAGAGGTGGCTGTTCAACTTTTTGAAGAGATGATGCAGGGGCAGTGCAAACCCAATGCCATTACTTGCACTATATTGATTGATGCATTTTGTAAAGAAGGTAAAATGGACGATGCGATGTTGATGTTCGATAAAATGCATGAAGGGATCCTGAACCGAACGTGGTCACATATAGTTGTCTGATTGATGGGTTTTTCAAGTCTGAAAACACAAAAAGTGCCTTTGAACTACACGAAGAGATGCTTAAAAGCGTCTCTCCAAATATAGTCAGTTATAGCATCCTCATTGATGGTCTTTGTAAAAGAGGACTTGTGGAGAAAGCATCCCTTGCATTTCATTGTGCTATAAACAGGGGCTTGGTGCCCGATGTAATAGCATACGGGATTCTGATTCGCGGTTACTGCAAGGTAGGAAGAACCGCAGAAGGCCTCGTGTTGTATGGGCGTATGTTAACAAGCGGGATCATGCCGGATGCTGTCATACAAAGGACGATTGCGGAGCATATCCTTGAAACTGATCGGCGAAAATATGAGAGTACTCCCAACCACATGATTTGCAGATAAGATCTGTTGTTTAATACAGTGACACAATTAACTGAAGCAAAGCTAGTGTAAAAATGCAGTGATTCAATTACAGTTTAATAGTTAATTTACTTTGTATTTGAAAGTTAACTTTTAGAATTTTCGTCACATATCATCCTTACAAAAAATCACTAAACTTGGAAACCATAAGACGAGGTGCAGGATATTTCAAGTTTCTCCGGGATGTAAGAACTCGTTTTCCCTTGGTACGCATTTTGTATCCAAGCTCAGCACCCGGCAGCCAAGTATCCGTCAGGTGATCGAAACTCTGCCCTATAACAACGGATGAATCAGATGCATCAGTTATGACAAAGTTCCCATTGTCGAGAAGCTTTGCTGCACCAGAACTAGAAACATTTGATCTTGAACTACCATGCTGTAACTTTGGAGGGCTGCTCAAGGTCAAGTTTCCATTTTCGAGTTCTAATACTCAAAAATTTTGGTTTAGAAACAGGTTCTTTTCGGTTTGTGAACCAAACTATAGGTAGATTCTTGTACCAGATGTCTATGTAATAGTTTTGAGATTCACGTGGTGTGAAGGAACCGAACTCAAATGTTCCACCGGGAGAGGTGATTGTTTGGCTCCCAGAAAGATACTGGCCTGAAGAGATGGCGTGAAACGCAGTGGACATACAAGCAATAAAGGTAGAACATAATCAAAATCCTAATGAGTATGATACACTGGAGCATGGTAGAATCTTCGTATCCGTCCCTTTGATAAATTGCAACAAAGGGTTAGATTTGCTGCAAACAGAACCCAAAAATTGTCCTTCCTTTCATTGGATCATAACCAGATATGAATAAATATTGGTCTTGCAGACCATTGGACTTTTAAGGGCTGTAATATTTTTGCTACCCTTCCTTCCCTGTTTGGGGTAATCAGACTATGAATGCGACCAGCTCCCTACAAATATCTCCTAAAACTAATCCGCAAAGATCGTCCGAGACTCAAGCATGTGGCATCCCAAAAGTCTTAGAAAGCCACGGAATTACAAGAAAATCTTGTGTCCACTTAGAAGATCATGTTATCCATATGCCCACTCACACAACTAGGCAGAACCACCTTTGTAATGGGGACCACCACTGGCCCGATTCCACCAGTTCCAAAATAGGTGGTTCGCTTGGTTGTGTGGGCCTACAAATGACGTTACCCTCTGGGTAGACATGAGAACAAATTACATTCATGCAACTACACGTCAAGATCAACATATAACAAGCATAGACAGATTTAAATCTATGGTAGCTCAAATCCGCATTCAGATTACATAAACATAATGTTATGCCTCGATATCGAACAAGCATGTCTGCAGGATTCCCCAAGAGCGAAAACCTGTACCTTACGAATACAACATATTCGTTATCAATGCCTGAAGTGCCTAACGTTTGTGCAAAAAGCGAAACTCCATACTTGTTACAGCAGTCCATGGCATCCCCATCTCTAATGCTCCCACCGGGTTTAGCAATTACACTAACTCCTCGCAGGCTTCTTCCACTGCATCTTTCCATGCTCCGCTCCCCTTTTCTCTTCGTGCTGCAAGTCTGCAACTCCTCTTTTTTTCAGCGGTTAAATTGAATACATTTAAGGAGAATTAAGGGGGAAAAACAAAGAAATGACTTGGAAGAAAGAAAAAAACAAGAAAGATGGGTGGATGGAGAGTGTGAAAATCATTTCTCTTTTTAATATATCATTACATAACCAATATTTATTGAACTGGAAATATTCAAAAACCTACTGCCTTCAAGATAAGGTTATATTTACAATCACACTGCAAGAACCCTCACGTTCTTCATCTGATCCTCATGAATTCTTGTTGCACAGTTGCTGACTTCGGCTTGAAATGCACTTTGGACATCGATGACCATCAACCTGACTCGGATGTAGTTTCCATGTAGTTAATGCCTTCTGCCGGACTTCTGATAAGGCGCTGGAGGAACTGCGGGACTGGCGGAACACCGATGTCCAAAACTCCCTCAAGAATTTGAACAACCTGCCTCATTGTTGGCCTATCCTTCTCATCTTCTTGAATGCACCAACAAGCCACTTTGCACGCTCTACTTAGGTCATCTCTGTCAGCTTTGCCTTCCAACCTGCAATCCAACAAGGTGAAAAGATCTTCCCCTTTATTAACTGCATTCGCGAGCCGGATAGGACGGAAGTTTTCTACCCCGTCAGCTAATCCTTCTCTGTTTCTCCTCCCTGATATGACCTCAATCAGCAACATGCCATAGCTAAACACATCGGCTTTTGGGGTGATGGCTTCACCTGAAAACCATTCTGGTGCGAGATAGCCCACAGTTCCTCTCATGGTTGTCAAAACCCGGCTGTGGTCTCTCCCCAAGAGTTTCGCAAGACCAAAATCCGCCAATTTCGGACTGTATTCTGAATCCAACAAGATGTTCTCTGGCTTAACGTCGCAGTGTATTATGCAGTCTCTGCACTCTTCATGGAGGTAAGACAATCCTCTGGCAGTCCCTACTGCAATGTGATATCTAGCATTCCAATCTAACATTCTCGGGTTCTTTCCAAGTATAAGAGATTGCAGAGAACCATTTGGCATGTAGTCATAAACTAAAAACCTCTTTGAAGCGTTGGAGCAGAATCCCCGCATGCGAATAAGATTAATGTGTTGGATTACACCGATAGTTCCCACTTCAGCACGAAATTGTTTCTCTCCCTGGTTCATACTTCTCAGCTCTTTCACTGCTATGGCCGTTGAGTTAGGCAACGTCCCCTTGAATACAGAACCAAAGCCTCCTTCCCCGAGTTTTTCGGAGAAGTTGTTTGTTGCTCTTCTTAAATCTCTATGCTTGTAAAGCACCAAAGAATCGTCGGTAGTCGCCAATGCTCCTGCTGACCATCTCCTTCTAAAGAATACCATGACAATGAAAGTACTACTTAAGATGGAAAAGAACCCTGCAATTACTCCAATTACAATCCAAGTAGTCTTTCTCTTCGTCTCACTTGTAGAATCCACAATCCGGAGATGCAATCCTGGGCTGTCTGGAGAATAACTTATGGAAATGGATTCGGATGGCATTGTCAGTATATTATATAGATCCCCTATCCAAATGAAACACCGACGACTATCGATAAAATTATAAACAAAGGCACTGCATGAGCAATTTATTAAGCATTCTAATCTGCATTGATCATTGCTCACATTTATAATTTGCTCATAGTTCCTAGGATATCCAATTCCAACATCAGTTATCGCCAAAAATGAGTCCCCGGGATTGTAGTGAAAAGGAAATTTCCTCACACAGCCATCTGAGAAGTCCTCTAGCATCCAACTTTCCCTGACTTTGGGTTCAAATCCTTCGAGGCAACCACAACGAGGAGAACTCCGCTGGTTGCAAATACTAAAAGCACCGCACGAAGAATCAACCGCACACTGGTCCGATGGTTCAGCCGAAATCAAAGTCCATTCCCTAAAGCCTTGGTCCCAGGCATAGAACTTTAGCTGACCATTGATTTCAAGTCTGCCTCTAGTAAAGGTATCAGGATATGAAGATAAATTAAAAGGTATTTCATCTAGCTCAGAAGAAAAAGGACCAGGTGCAGGAGTTTTCGGATTTCTCCAGGATGTAAGAACTAGTTTTCTCCTCGTACGATTATTGTATCCAAGCTTAGCACCCGGGAGCCAAGTATCCGTCGGGTGATCGAAACTCTGCCATTTGACAACAGATGAATTAAATGCATCTGTTATGACGAAGTTCCCATTGTCAAGAAGCTTTGCTACACTAGAATTCAAGACCCTTGATCTTGAATTAGTCGACCATACTGCAACTTTGGAGGGGCCACTTAAGGTTAAGTTTCCATTTTCGACAAGTTTTAATACTGAAAAATGCGGTTCACAAACAGGTTGTTTTCTGTTTGCGACCCAAACTAGAGTCCGATTGGGTAGATTTTTGTACCAAATGCCTACGTAATAGTTTTGAGGTATACCTGGTGCGAAGAAACCGAGCTCAAATTTTCCGCTTGGAGGGGTGATTGCTGGTGTGAAGAAACCGAGCTCAAATTTTCCACTTGGAGAGGTGATTGTTTGTTCCCCAGAGAGAGAATGGCCTGGAGAGATGGTGTGAGACGCCGTGGAAATACAAGCAATGAAGGTGCAACATAGCAAAAATCTCAACGCATAGCAGAGTAGAATTTTCGTATCCATCTCTTGATAAAAATTGCAACAAAAGAGTTGGATTGCTGCAAGCAGAAGCCGAAACTTATCCTTCCTTTGAATGATTGATCTTAACCAGATAAGCTGTATCAAAATATCTTAGACGTTGACTTCCACTCCAGTTACAATCCAACAAGTCTTTCTCGCACTCTTTCTAGTCGTCTCATTTATCAAAACATATTAGACTTGACTTGCCAGTCAACGAAGAACCCTGCCACCACTACAATTACAATCCAAGAAGTCTTTCTCGCACCCTTCCTAGTCGTCTCATTTGTCAAAATATATTAGACTTGACTTGCCAGGCAATAAAGAAGCCACTACACTTACAATCCAACAAGTCAACCTAAGCTAAGCAGGGATAAAAACACCTGCAAAAGTATGTGGGAATGATAATTATTATCGACATTACTAGATCTGGCAATTTCTTTCACGACATGTTAACACGATACGAAAATAACAGATTTCAGATCAACACGATAACTAATCGGATCATTATCGGGTCACATGATAATAAACCATTAATAACGAATCCTTAACAGATTTACACGAGAGTGACACGCAAGAAACTTATTTCAACACGATAAGAAAAAAGTTATTTGGATGATTTTAATTTTTTAAACTACTAAAAAGGAACCCTGCCACCACTACAATTACAATCTAAGAAGTCTTTCTCGCACCCTTCCCAGTCGCTTCATTTGTCAAAATATATTAGACTTGACTTGCCAGTCAACAAAGAACCCTGCCACTACAATTACAATCCAAGAAGTCAACCTAAGCTAAGCAGGGATAAAAACACCTGCAAAAGTATGTGGGAATGATAATTATTATCGACATCATTACCAACTCGTGTAGGAACGAGACTTTCACTTTGTAATGGCCCTTTTTCTTTCTTTTGCCTTTGTGAGTAGGAATGAATTACATTAGAATTCGTATCTCCATCAAAATTTACAAACGTTTAGTCAAGAAAACATATATTCCTGTGAACCAATTTCAAGCGTTAAACAACAATAAGTAGTTGAATTGCTATTTTTATAAAACCATTGTACAGATAAGTATAGTGAAATAAAGAAACATCATTAAAATACTTCCAACGTTTTCCTAAAACAAAACTCAATTTCCAGAAGATATGGATCATCATACATACATAAATATGCAGACACACCCACACATATGTAACTTACTCTCTACGATTTGTAGCTCTTCCAGTGACGTGGAATTCTTATAATTTATAGTACAAGTCTACACGCATTCTAGTTCACCAAGAAATTACCAGCAATCAAGATAATCAAATCTCAACATTATATAAGAACGTAATATCTGAAATTCAATGGAATTCTAATTTCAAGTCTATTCCACAAATCTGGTAACCACCACGGGTACTATCCTAGGGTATCTAATCTCTAAGCTTTGATACCATTTTGTCACGCCTCGACCCATGAATAAATACTATTCACGAGTTAGGATGTGAGTCATATCTTAGCTATAGAAATAAATTCTACAACCAAGATATGGTGGAAGAAAAAAATTAAATTATAACAATTACACCATACATCAACAAAATCTTACATACAAATTTTTAAAATACGCAGCGGAATAACGATAGTGCACAAACTAATTCACAACAAAAACTACTAACAAAATAATAATTAAATTGTAACAATTCTTTCAAATGCATGAAATATATGCACATGAGATGGATGAGTGTACTCACTCCCTTTTAATCCCGTCAACACATACCTAAGGCACCCAAGCCTACATGTCCCATACCATGCTTATACCACTTGACTATGGATACGTTAGAGTATGAGTTAACTCCCGTTCATCCCTTAAACCCAATTTTTGTAATAAACTCTCAGTTTCCACTTTATTATACAGTCACTTTCCCCGACGCCTGACGTATACAAGATGTCATTATTTTAATAATCAGCCAATTTGTATACTCAAGCCCTACACCCTACGCCTGACATATATAAGGTTCATTATTTTATATTCAAGGCAAACTTCAGCCCTTAAATATCCTCACAACTCAAACACTTTACACAAAGGAGCACTAGACACAACACAACTCTTTATCTTGCTTTGCAATGCATATGTACATGTCATGTTCACATAGATATCAATACTCACATTTTCTTTAACAAGCCTGTAAGCTTTAACATAAATCAAATTGATTAGTGACAAGAGTAGTATAATGATAATATTAATAACAAAATAATAATCTTTAATATAAATGATAAGCAATATGTTATCATTTCCTCATTTATTTTATTGTCTCAATTTCATTTCCTCCCTCTTGTTCTCTTTCTTCCTTCACCACTTCCCCTTCCTCTTCTTTAATATAGCTGAAATTCTACATATGTAATAGGAGTTGGATTGCTGAAAAACTTCCATGAAAGGGAGCGAAAGAAACTAGAGATGTTGGCCATGCAAAGAGATTGGCAGAGAAGGCTACCTCAACCGAACATCAGCTGTTAGAACTAGGGTACAAGTCAGCACATAGATTGGATTGTCGTGGTTTTTGGATATGTTACAGAGGAGATGATAAGAAACAACTTTTGTGAAGGAAGTGTTTGATCGGAACTCTAAAAAATGGGGTTTTGGTGCTCATAACATGGCTGTCCAGTTTTCTGCGGGATTAGAGACATGAGTTGGTATTTCAAATATATTGGACGATCGCACCGTTGGATTTTTCTGAAATTTTGATATATTATGGTAGAGAGACAGACGAACAACTCTCATGAAGAAAGTACTATGATATAATCTATGAATGATGGTGTTTTAGTCTGATAAATAGGCTGGACGAATTTCTAGTTTTTGGATATCTTTCTTTTGATAGATGAAAATGATAGTGAGTTTGATGGAGATTTTTGTTGGGTAAGGTTTCATGTATTTTTTTGGGATTTGTCTCACCCTTTTTGTACATCATTCTCAAGGGAAAATAAATGGAGATTTTTGATAGTTTGGTGGAAGTGCTTCTCATGGAAATGATCTCAAAATGTAAAAGCATAAACAACACAAGATTTAAGTGGTTCGCCAAATCGACTACATCCACCAGGGTTTGCTTTCATTGTCTTTCACTATATATGAGGGATTTACAAATACAATGAAAGATGGCTTAAAGCCTTAACTATATGTAAAAGAAGGGTAATTGGATAATATGAAAGGGAGGATGGCTTTTTATTGGAGTTGTTCTTTTTCTTCTTTTTTTTTTTTTTTTTTTTTTTATTGTTCTTCCTCTCTCTTCTCTCCATGTCTTCCGTTGGTTCTTTGCTCTTTCCTTTATAAAGATTGCATGACATCTTCCTCTCCAAAGAATCTCCACAAGTGTGCCAATAGAAACAAAGCAAGTGTTGTGCCAATCATTAGACATTAAATGTGTTCCAATAGAAACACACCAATTGTTAACCTAATCATCACCATAAAATGTGTTCCAATAATAAGGCAACAAATGTTGTCCTAATCCTTAGCAATGAAATGTGGTCCCATAGAAAAACAACAAATGTGAAGCTAATTATGAACTAATGAATAATATGCAAGATGTTCCTTGCATCAAAGGCCACGTGAAATGTTCTAACCACAATAAGTTGTCATCTTCCTTTATTTAGAGTGGTGAATATCATGCAAAGTGGACAAAAGCTCAAAAGCCACGTTCAAAGTCTAAGGAATATGAATCCCACCTCTCCAATTTTGGAGGGATGAATCATCACCAAACATTTAACTCTTAGATTCCTAATGAATACAAACTTGCCAACTCACCCTTAAGTAGACTTCCACCTTCACATTTAGAGTGGTGAGTAATCACCAAATCATTAACTCGTAATGTTACAAACTTTCCATCTCATCCTTATGTAGACTTCCACCTCTTATTTGGTAAAAATATCAAGCCAAACTCATCATAATCTCCTTCTCCAATTCAAACTAAAAATATCTCTAATTACTTATGAACATGAAATAATACTAGCCAATTTTTTAAAATAATTTGTAGCAAAAAGGATTTTACATTGAGACTATTTTACATATTGAAAGTAGGTTCTTGCATAAAATAAATCTAATAAAATCATTACGTAAAAATAATTACCCACACACACACACACACACGCACCCATATATAACCTTTTTTTTTTTTAATACGGGGTATTACAGGATCTTATCTCGTTCAAGTAACCTTTGCTCCACAGTCTCAACTCTTGCAGTACCCATTTGATAAGGGATTGCATGGGGTGTGGGGTTTCCATAAACTAGCACAAATTGAGTGTATTTGGAGGAGGTGTGATAAGAAGTATTGAAGCACCATTCAGCCCAAGAGAGCCATTGAACCCACTTCTTTGGTTGACCTCCCACAAAGCATCTGAGATAGGTTTCTAGGCATCTATTCATCACCTCAGTCTAGCCATCACTTTATGGGCGATACCCTGAGCTCATGCATAGCTTGGAGTTTTACAATTTAAACAGCTCCTTCCAAAATGCACTAATGAAAATGGGGTCTTTATCACTGAAAATAGAGTTAGGTATCCCATGCAACTTGAATATATGATCCACAAATAGTTGTGCTACTTTAGTGGCAGTGTAGGGGGTGTGACAAGGGTACAAAATGGGCATATTTTGATAGCCTGTCAACCACCACTAAGATCATAGTTTTCCCCTTACAATTAGGCAAGCCTACTATAAAGTCCATGCTAATGTCATCCTATAACCTATGAGGAATAGGTAATGGCTGCAGCAATCCAGGGGGTAAGATAGTTTCAAGTTTGTTTTGTTGAAAAGATTGACACTCAACAACAAACTTCTTGATGTCATTTTGCATTCCCTGCCAATAGAAACTCTTCTTAATCCTCTAGTAAGTTTTTAAGACCCCTTGGTGCCCAGATACCGGAGTTGAATAATGCTCCTCAATGATCTTAGTTCTCCAATCAAAGGAAGGATTTAAAACCACTCCTTGTTTGTTACATAAGGACCAATTGTCCATAAAATACTTACTCAATGTTGAACCCCCATAACCATCTTGGATAGCTTGAGTCACTTCCTTCTTTTTCTTAGCACTCCACTCATCTTGCTCATTACTCCTTTTGAGCTCATTCATCCATCCAAAATATGGATATGAGATGGCAATGCATTCCATGTTCATGTCATCAAC